CTCTAGGAGCTCTTAAAGTATCTGGGGCTAGGAGGCACATGTTGTTGAGGGAGAAGCTTGCCTCCTTAGGAGGGGCAGAGAGTGGCCTCCGATGATATTGTTGCTGTTACATTATAGCCCAGTGGCTTGTATTTACATTGTTATCTGAATCTGGTAGACCAGGATGAGGCTATTAGAAGAGGAGGCCTCATTAGGGCCAAAGGGACCTCAGCACCAGACAGGGTGTGGAGACAGAGACCAAAAGGACCCTAGCACCAGAAGATGCTGCTACTGGGGCCAATGGCCCAGTGATGACAGGAGACTGAGCTAGACTGTGGCCTCATCAAAAGGGATAATTTTTAAGTACAATCTGCGAGGCATGGGGCATGGTAAAGGGGAAGTTTTGGAGCCATGCACCTAGCCCATAAGGCTTTGCCTCTCTCGAGAGGCACTGACTTTGAGTGAGACCCAGCAAGGGATCCAAAACCAGCAGGGTCTAGTGGGGTTCAGCAGGACTGTAACCACACAAACTCATGGGCAACCTCCCAGCTTGTTGGTTGAAATAATAAGACATTGTAGGCAATATTAGAAGGCGCCCTAAGCTCATCACGTCCATCCCTGGGGACCCCATGCCATGATGTACACAAATGATAGTATGCCACTCTTCCACATTCCAGATGCAATAACTTCCCTACATCACAAGGATGCTGCATGGCTCAATTAAACCATAGATAAAGCAACTAGAACCCCTTGGATGAGAGATGCTGCAGAACCATAAGATGTAGTTATTAAAGAGCCCCTCCAAGTGCTATTCCCATTCCCATTTACCTCCAGATGGCGATCCCAACACTCTTCGGATTGACTTAACCCATTCTTCCATCTCGGACTGGGAATTAGCCATCAGCACATAGGAATCTTGCCCTGGTCGATTCTGGTCTCCTGAGGTGCCTGCAGAAATAATTACTCATAAAGGGAATTGGGGGAGGGAAAACACAGACCTGCATTGATTTTTATTTTAAGCATTTATTTAGATTTTTATCAATTAACA